TTCCTGCTTCTAATTATTAACCTTTTAACCTGCATCTTGATGGGGTTTTTTCCAGAAGGGGGGAAAAAATCAACACTGATTAAGATTGTAAACAAACCTCTAATCTGTAAAATAGAGCTCTGGTTTGATTAGCTAATAGACAAATTGCATTATTCGTGCAGAAATTTCTTCTCTCCGGAAAACTTAATCAGTAGATGGGTTTTTGCAGCCTCTCATATGAAAATGCATGCCTTGTATATTTTTTTTACAATGCATGATGCTTGCGTTACCTAGATCTTTTTTTTTTTTTTTTTGTATGGAGTAGACTTAGTCTTGCAGTGCATCTTTAACTTTGGTCTCATTACTAAACTGAAATACTAATACGTATGTGTTCTTTTGCTTTTCTAACCACCTAACAGGAAGATGAGGAGGGAAGCTGGGCTCAGGTTGGAAACTTTATGTAATATTATAGACTGTATGTAAATTGTCACAATAATTAGCCTGAAGAAGTCTGGTTTTCCTTTATAGAAGTGCCGCTCAGGTTGGAAACTTTATGTAATATTATAGACTGTATGTAAATTGTCACAATAATTAGCCTGGTTTTCCTTTACAGAAGTGCCTTCTAGTGACTTGGTGTGGCTTGGGGATTGGGAGAGGGGGAAACTACAAGCTTATCTCTATTGGAAGATATACTTTTATATTTAGGCAATTTACGTATTTTAATGTTTTCTAGAACTTCCAACTTTTTGTGGTTCATCACTGAAAATTTGTAAAATACTTTGTTACATAGTACATCACAGAAAAGCTATGCATAAGGATTTTTAATACAGGGTTGTTAAGGGGAAGAATATTCAGAAGTCTTTGTCATTATTTACCTGAAATACTTATCCTCCAGCTTCTGTACTGCCAAAATGTAGTTACTCTTTCTTAATAAGTGTGTTAACCTATGCATTCAACATACTACATCAAATTTTAAAATAATTGCATGACATGGTGTGGTGTGTTTTGGTGGGGGATGGCTCTCTGGGAAGCCAGAAATCCAGGAAGAATATCTGCTATGTGTGGAGAGTCCCTGTTGAACCTGGCCACCATCACAGGTGTGCTACAAGACATAGTAAGCCCAGATAGTTAAGTAGATTCCTGTGCACTAATTCTGTAATCCTCCTTGATTAATTGTTTTCCCTTAAAGTGGTGACAAATCCTAATTATATTTTCAGGCATTGAGATAGTGGAGTATTTTATACAGGGATATAAACACAACTGAGGATTTGCCTGTGACCCGTGTCTTTGTACAGTGTACTCTCTTCTTGCTTGGCTGCCCTCCAGCTTAAACCTGTTTAAGCCCCATTAACTACGTCTCAGTCATTTTCAGATTGTCAGTGATAACACACTCGTAGCTCGCCTCTGTTACAAGAGTAACATGCTCTTTCAGTCCGCTGCCTAGTGATGGCTTGAAGAAAGGCGTTTGTACGTGGCCTTGTTCCTTTCTAGAAGATGCTTCCTTTAGAGGAGAAATAAAGCTTTTGACTTTTAATTGCAGACTAAAAATGAATTATTACCCTTACCTTCTGAAAAAGGGAGCTGCTGGGTTTTGTTGCTCAAGGAATTACTAGATGCTTAGGTATAAACTCCCTTATTGTTAGAAATTTTCTCCAAAAAATGCTTGGTGATTGGGAGGTCAAAAATGCAGCGAGGGTCGTCTTTTAGGATAAAGACTAGCATTTAGAATTCCTTGTTCTGGGGTAGGGGGTTTTTACAATTTTTATATAAAAACAGTGAAGAGTATTAAAGAAATTACTGCAGTTTTTTCTTTTTAAATATCTTGTATTTATATGGTCATGTGAAAAATATGATATCCAGCCCCCTCCTACAGTTTAAAGACACACAATATTTTTCAGCATCTTAACAAAATTAAATTGTATGGCTCTTGTATCAAAACTATATAGATTAGTCTTTTGATTAGGTTCTTTGTATTCTTTATACTTTTCAGCATGAAATAAATTAAGGCAGTTTTACTTGCTGCTCTGAATATCTAAACTTGTTTTTCTTCATGAGGCTGACTTCTTCAGAAAACATACATGTATTCAGTATTTTAGTTTGCTTATCTGTCCAGGCTGAGAGTTAAGTAGGCATTGTTTTACTTTCTTTTTTAAAAATATGTTGTCTAAAAAAGCTTTTTTTTCTTTTATTTCTCATTTTAATAAGCTTATTCCTTCATCTTTTAAAAACAGACGTTAGCATATGGTGATATGAACCATGAGTGGATTGGCAATGAATGGCTCCCTAGTCTGGGGCTCCCTCAGTATCGCAGCTATTTCATGGAGTGTCTTGTTGATGCTCGAATGCTGGATCATTTAACTAAAAAAGATCTGCGTGGGCAACTTAAAATGGTGGACAGCTTTCACAGGTATTGGATTGAAGGTGGAGACCTAACTTAGAGTAAACGTTTCCGTTATCTCTACATGTTGGTGTGGGGGGTTTTTTTGTTTCTAACTTGTTTTCTTTTCTAATCAGGAACAGTTTTCAGTGTGGAATTATGTGCCTACGAAGACTGAATTATGATAGAAAAGAGCTTGAGAGAAAAAGAGAAGAAAGCCAGAATGAAATTAAGGGTTAGTGCATTGTCTTGACCTCAGTCACTGTCTGCCTCCAAAATCTATTAAAATCTAAAAAAGGCATTAGAGGAAGGAATGATATATAAAATACCAAGTGGTAGACAGATGTGTCTGGATGCAGGCCCTGAAGAGTGAATCATGAAACACGTCACTAAATCATTTGCCTGTGCAGAGGTGTGCTGCAAATGTAGGCATTTCTGAAACTCTGACTGCTCTGAAGTTTGAAACAAAACCGAATGTCTTAGGAGAATGAAGGCTTTGAAAAAGTTTTGGGTTCTCCCCCCTGCTTCTTACATAACTTTGCGTTTATGTGGTTTTATTGTTGCTTGTGGCTGGTAATGTTTATTACACAGTGCCTTGTGAAAACATACCCAGGTGACTCAGGTATTTATATCTTCCAGATTCATGGTGATTACTGAATAAGAGAAGAGAAAAAGCAGGATTGGGCATTCACAGTGTCTTCCAAGACTTCCTGTGGAAATTTTGTCCCCTGACTGATATCAGATGTGTTTTCTGACACCTTAGACTAAAATTTTAGGGTTACCTTGTACACAATTTGCTTAGCAGGCTCTGTGCTTTGCCCTTTGCTTTTAAAGTCTTGATACAGTATGGTGGTTATTCTACTAGTTGTGCCTCAGGACATACCCAAGAGTTGCAGCTAAGGCATGAAGCAAGCCTGTGTTGTGGGCGGTAAGCCTTTTAGCCTGCTGAATGGTATGGCTGCATCTAATTCCTATAAGGAATTATTCCTTAAAATGTCACCCTTGAATTCCCCCTGGGAACTGTTTGGGAAGAATGCTAGTTGATAAAGGCCAGAAATATGCTGTACATCGTTACAACAGTTCGGTTCAAACAGACTTTCCCAAGTAGTGTAAAAAAAACCAAACTACTTGTAAGAACATAGTTTTTGTTTTGATGTTTGGGCTGAACATGTAAATGCTGCTTTATGTTTTTACTTTAAGAAGTTCTAAGATGAGAATATAGTGATGGTTGAACTCTTAGAGTACGAAATGCTTTCCAGCAAGCTTCAAATATGTTAACTTTCTACCTTAAATTTATGATTGTGGAAAAGTGTAGTGGTATGCATACACAAGCTGAAAGTAAGTCTGCATTACTAAAGAGAAAACATTCAGGACTTAAAGGTAGATAAAATTATAAAATGCTTAGATAATAAGGATTTAAACAATAATACATAAAGCTTTCTTGTTCAAAGTCAGTGGGAAGTGCATGGGAAACTGCTATAAGATTTTCCTCTTGAGTAGTAATTTTTTTTTCCAAAACAACGTCTTGCGTGAGGTACAGACCCCTCTATGGCCATGTGAACTAGAAGATCATCTTCTCCACCTGCATGAATGCTCTGCCCAGCTGAACTTCTCATAACTGTGACCATAGCCTCCCTGCAGACAGAGAAGGGATAAAGCGTGGCCTGTTCCTTCTGGGTGCGAGGAAAACTGTGGCATGGAGAGGATGTGGCATTGGAGTCTAAACATGAAGTTTTGTTGCCAATTTGTGCATTTCACGCACACCAGAAAGGCAGAGACAGATTAGATTACAACCTAAAAGTTAAATTAAAAAATTCCTTGAAGGCTGCTACTTACCAGAATTCATGATGAACTGTGTGTGTGTGAAAATCAATCCCGCCCTCACCATACAGATGGAGAAAGGACCGTGGGGGTGTTTTTTGTTCAGAAAAGTTCTGTTCAGGCCACGTGTTTTTTTTTCCCTCCATAGATGTCCTTGTCTGGAGCAATGAAAGAATGATCCATTGGGTAGTGTCCATTGGTCTTAAAGAATATGCAAATAACCTTATAGAGAGCGGAGTTCATGGTGCACTTGTGGCCTTAGATGAATCATTTGATTACAATGCGTTAGCTCTCTTACTACAAATACCCACTCAAAACACACAGGTAAGCAAGAAGCAGTTACTTTATTGGTTATAGGCTTTTTCTCCCCTCTAGGAAGATTAAAAATGGAACTGACTGGTGGTATGCCCCTCTAGGAAGATTAAAAATGGAACTGACTGGTAGTGTGTTGTGTGGTGGTTTGTTTGTTTTTTTTTTCTCCTAAGGTAAGTGCATGTCGTTCTAGTCCCAGCTCTAGAAACTTTAGAAATGGAAAGATGTCTATTGTTCTATAAGATAAAAATAAAGAACTGTGCTTTTCTTAGTGTTTTCTCATTGTTAATAACAATTCCAGTTGAAAGATTAAAAATGGAACTGACTGGTAGTGTGTTGTGTGGTGGTTTGTTTGTTTTTTTTTTCTCCTAAGGTAAGTGCATGTCGTTCTAGTCCCAGCTCTAGAAACTTTAGAAATGGAAAGATGTCTATTGTTCTATAAGATAAAAATAAAGAACTGTGCTTTTCTTAGTGTTTTCTCATTGTTAATAACAATTCCAGTTGATAAATATTCTTGAACAAAAAATACTGTGAGTATTTTCCTCAGAGCCCATCTTCACATCATTTGTGTAAGTCTCAGCATTTTTGTTCTTTGCTAGTTTTTATTCTGAAATAATGAAGTTAGAGCGGGAAGTCGTGAACCTGTGTATCATAAGGGAATGGGGACCTGTTAAGACGTCCTTAAATTTTTAATGTTACAATTTAAATTGTAACTTTCAATTACTGAGTATGTTTATTAATCTGGTAAAAAGGTTATGTTGGAATTAATTTTCATTTCTTTTGTACTGTAAACTTTAGGCTCGTGCTCTTCTGGAGAAGGAGTTTAATAACCTTCTTGCTATGGGCACTGACAGAAGACTTGATGAAGTAAGTTACTTAAGCTGGTGACCCATTTTTATGGTCTACGAATTTTATCAGAACTGTAAAGTGAAAGAATATAGCTTGAACCTCTTGCAGCTATTGACAGAATAGTGACAGAAATCTTAACTTGAAATTCTTTGTCTTCAAGAGTTTCTGAATATGGCAGTTTTTATGTATTTAGTTAAGATAACTTAGAATGTGAAAACGTTGAGATGACTTGCAACTTATTTTGTAGCTTGCATGGTTAAAGTCAAATAGAAGATTTAGCCCAAAATGTTGCTATCTGGGAAAATTAGTGACCAGTGTTGCAGGTGTACAAGCTCTTATAGGGAAAGGCATTGTACAGCGCATTTCAGAGTTTGTCCTAATGAGCAGTATTTAAAATAATTTTCCAGCGTTTTGCAAGAAAGCTTGTGGTGGTATACCTGTTTAATACTGGTACAGATGACCACCATGTATGTTTGCACATCAGAGTAATTTCTGTCGGGCAGTCTGTGATCTTACGGTGCATAAACTTCATCCAGATGTTACAAGTGCAAAACTAATAAACTAGATGTGAAGGTTTTTTGTAGACCCTGTGAACCCATAGCGTAAAGGAGAGTTACAGCTTCAAGCTGCTCTGTGCTGTAGCTCAGCGAACAGTTTCAACCTGGTAATACTTCCCCAAGAGACAATTAACTCTGTGTTCTCTCTTTAGTGCTAATGGGAGATTGTGGTAGGATGGGTACATGAAAGTGGTTTAGGTTAAGGCTAAGGTGGCAAAACCTTAATGTAGTTAACCAAGTCAGGGAACCAGTCCGCAGTATCTCAAACACTTGTGCTGGAGTGAGGAAGAGGACAAAATGCTGACTTAAATTGTTTGGATCATAGAATCACAGACTGGT